CCCCGTGTTTACTGCTGTTTCTTCTCTTGGATATAATTAGCACATTAGGATTTCACAGTCACACTTCACATATATGCACAAGCAGTTTCTGTGTGTATTTCATAAGGGTGTATTTGGAAGTGCTGTAAAAACTCAACCCCTGGAGCACTAGGAAATGACAAGTCTTTGATTCCTTAACAGCCTCCACCTCTTGCACTCACCCCAGGCAGGCGGGGGCAGCCCCAATATTTGGGCTATTTTCACCAGGTGCATCTCATGCCACCGTATCAACCAGGTCTAAGTTAACCCTGACCGCGGGTTCAGCCGCCGATCTGGTTTCCTCGACTGGGTGTGACGACCTCGTGCAATTTTATCAAGCTGAGAAGGAACTGCAGGTCACTCTCAAAATTGTGCACCAGGCAAAAAGGCAAAAGTTCTTGGAAATCTTTAGGCACAAAGTGTTTTTAGAGACTCAGGTTTTGAGCTCCCACCCCTCAAACCCGCACACTTAAGCTTGCCGGGGGAACTGGCAGGGGAAAGGTTGGGCGGGGAGGGAGGAAGGTGCAGAATTCCCGCTGGGAAAAGGCAGAGAAAACATTTTGAGTGCTTTTTTTTTCAGGTGGCTTTTGACTGCAAAGCCAGCTTCCCAAATCACAAGTCAGAGAGCAGTCGGAGGCAACCACAAGCATCTACAAAACTGATGTAACATAATTCTTCTCCCCCTAAATCTATCCCCAGGAGCCCCAGCGAGGGATGTACCCCCCCAGGAGCTGGGACTGCCCTGCTCCTACCCCCAGCAACGTCCAACGGCAAACTGCAATGACAATTTTATGGATCATCCCATGAAAAAGGACAGGCGACCAGGAGAAAGGCAGAAAAGTGACTTCTGAGACATGCTTTTCCCTCATTTGCCACTGGAGGAGAATTTTCTTGTGTGAAGGAAGAAACAGAAGCGATGAGAATAGATGCAGAAACCACGGTAACTCCCAAACTGATGAGCCTTGCACCAAAGCAATTTTATCAATTTCATTATAAAATGTTACATATTTCAGTAAAAAAACCCCAAACAATTCAGCAAGATGTGCTTATAATTTCTCCTAATTGATACGCTTGACTACCGGCAGATGATAAATTGACTCCCCCAGCAGTTTGTCTCATGTTTTCTCTCCCTCTTTTGAATAAAAAGCCCTTCGTGAGCTTCTTTTACGTCTTGCAGTTTACCCTTCAAATAATGGACTGATTAAGTGTCCTCAGAATATGTTTTAACTTCTCAAGATTAAAAAAATGCACCACCCTGCATTTTAAATTGATAACAGCTTGGCCATCTGAAAAATAAGAAGTTGCTACTGCACACAGTCAATTTTAAAAAATAACAAAGCAGATCCTAGAAAATGGATATGTGCTTTTTCTTTTTTTCTGGTATTGTATTTCCTTTCCATCACTACTGATTACCCAAGGCATCGGTCTCCTCAAACAGAAGATTTTTCATATTTATTTATCCCATTCCTCCCTCTAATGCATTCCCCAGTCACGCAACGCGCCGCGGCTCGGCGACGCTGCGCTTAGAAACGTGTAAAACATGACATATTGCTTGTAAATCTCGCTCGCCTTCTGTCTCAAGTAAAATCCAAGATGTGATTGCAATGTCACAAATCTCCTGCTCCGACACCCCGGATCGCTGCCGGCAGGGAGGGAACCCACACCGACCCGGGGTGGTGCCACGGAGCACGGGGCACCCACCTTTTTTTGTCCACTTCAGACTTTTTTCCGTAAAGCTTTCTCACATGTCTTGGGGTTTTTTTTTCTGACAAAGAATGGAATATTTAATGCCCTTCCCATTTTGGCCAAGCTTCTTGTTTTCCAGGAAGTCTGAAGAGGACTTGGCATAGAGCAGACTCGGTCTTTAAGGATATCTTTTAGGATAACTTAGTTATCTTTTAGGATAACTCCTCGTTAATTGAGGATGCCTTGTAGCTAGGGCAAGGAAGAAGGAGCAGAAAAACAAGTCACAGTGACACAAAACCTGAGGAGCTGCCCATCTCCAGCTATCGCCACGTCATGCCACGGCACCGCCCTAGGTGCATCA